TCCATCTTCCCTCTACCTCACACCGCTGTCTTGTCTCTGTCCCTCCCTGGGTCTCTCTGTGTCTGTGTCTCTGTCTCGCCCAGCCACTCCACTCGCTGCGTACACCAGCCGAGCTCAGCAACTGGCAGCCCTGGCCCCACCCCCACATCTGGCCTCTGAGCACCTGTGTCTCCTGGGCATTTGGAGAAATGATCTGTGTCTGACGAGGGGCAGCTGCATGGGACAGGGCCGCTTCCTGCCTGCCAGGCCTGCCCCCCACCCACCGGCCCTTGGATGCAGTGAGTCGCGGTGGTGTCCACCTCATCTAACGGGGGGAGGGAGAACTGTCCCCACACCCATGTGCACACACACCCAAAGTCCACCAGCTGGCACGCTGGGGCCCCACCTGGGGGCAGAGGGGGACAGGCGGTAACAGCGCCCACTACTCCGTGGGCCCAGGGCCAGCCGTGGGGATCAGGGACTGCTGTCACGCTGTTGTTCAGGTGAGCAGACTGAGGCAGGACCCACAGTGACTGTGTGTGGGGCCAGCCCAGACCACCCTCTGTGTCCCCCACAAGCTGCCGGATGCTGTTAGCTCAGTGTGTTTCAAAAGCTGATGTGGGGCTCTTGGCCCTGCCACATGCCTGGCAGCTGTACTTTGCAGATGGCTCTCAGGTGACCGCAGGAATGACTGTTCCCATTTCACAGAGGGGACACCGAGGAGGGGCTGTGGCCCAGGAAGAGGCTGGTGAGGCGCATGCCCACGGCGTTGACAGCTGTTTGTTCGGGATGTGCCTTTCAGGGGGACACGGCAAGGGCTGCCAGACCACAGGGGCCCAGTGTGGGGGCGAAAGGCCTTGGGCAGCACCTGCCCCGTCTGCCCACTGCAGTTCAGACAGGCACGTCCTCTGGACTGGCAGGAGCCTATGACATCTCCCCTCGTACCTAGCAGGAGGGGACTGGGCAGGGTCCCCGGGGAGCCCTGGGCTGCAGGCTGCCCTCAGGCTGAGACCCACAACCCACCTGGCTTGTGGCCCCAGCTGTGACAAGGGACCCCTTCTCTGCCAGTCTCGATCTGAGGGGCTGAGTGACTTTTCAGAGGCAAGTGGCCTTGTGGTCCCTGCTGGGAACCTTTTCTTCAGCCCTGCCCTCTGCCCTCTGCCCTGAAGGGTCAGCCCCCTGCAGCCTCCAAGACACTTTCGCTGCCCACAGCCCCGCTTCCAGCCGCCCCTCACGGCCCCCAGTGCTCGGTCCTTGCTGGCCTCCTCACACAGCACAAAATGCCCCTCTGCGGTGCCACAGGACCTCTGCACACACCACACCTCCCGCCAGGAATGCTTCTCCCGACCCTACAGCTTAGGGTCCCCGAGCACCCCAGTCTGTTGTACGTTCTTCCTTCACTTAATTATTAAACAACTATTCTTAAATTTATTTCTTTACTTTTAGCATTTTATTATTCGTTTGGTGCTGGACGATAGTGGTTAGATGCCCAGACACCGGTGCCCACGCCTTCACACTGGTCTGGAGGCTCAGAGGTGGGACAAGCCGATTGGGCGAGGGCTCAGCACCCCGACCCTGTGCCCCCTCCTGCGGCCCGGGGTCCACAGGGCCGGTTTTGTGCTGTGGCCACCGAGCAGAATGAACATGCCAGACGCTGACGGTGTGGGTGAGTGTGTGGGAAGTCGGGGCTACGCTGCTGGTGGGGATGCAGGTGGTGCAGCCGCTGTGGGACCAGGGTGACGCTTCCTCAGACTAAACGAAGTGTCACCGTGTGACCAGCACTGCCACTCCTGGGTACGAGCCCAGAAGCGATGGGAACGTGTGCCCACGCGAAACCTTGTACACAGACGTTCACCACAGTAGTATTCGTAACAGCTCAAAAATGCCCACCAGCGGGTGAGCGGTGGGTAAGTGTGGTGTGGACTATCCGTCAGCCATAATCCTGCACGCAGTCCCGATGCCTGCTACCGGACGCCCAAGCCCTGGGAGGCAGCTGCCTGGGGCCCAGGCATTTGGGGCACGCCTTGGCCACTGGCCTCCCCCGGTGTCCAGAGGGAGGCTCAGCTGGGCCGAGCCCGATCTGACAGGATTGTGGACCCGAGTAGGGTGAGGCTTAGGGGGGAGTGGGTGCCTCTGGGCCGCCCACACAGCTGGCTTCCAGGGAGCACTGGGGAGGCGTGGACCGTGGTGAACACAAGACACCCAACCCTAAACAAGGAACTGACCCCACCTGGAGCATGAGACGCCATGGGGTCCCGTCTGCACAGACGGCTGTGTCACAGCCCCTCCAGTCCTGTCTTCAGCCAGCGCCCACCAGAACCCCGTCACAGTGTGGCTCAGCCTGCAGGCTTTTTACCTGGGAGGCATGACGGTTAGATCTGTCTCCTGAGGTCACAAGTGCTTCAGGTACAAGTAACACCCCAACCACGTCCATCTCCGGTCAGAAAAGGAGGGCTCGAGAACACCAGGGCGGTAGGGAGAGGACGTGGGGTCCCCCGCCCCAGCTTGGCCCGCCTGGCCTGGCAGCCTCCATCCTGCCTGTCCAGTGCCTGCTCCCTGCCCCTCCCAGAAGCCTCCAGTTTAGTTCTGCCTGGCTGGGAGGAGAGGGCTGGGCCAGGCGACCAGGTGCCCCTCCAGGACACCCCGACCCCCTGCCTGTGGAGAGGCAGAGGTGGTGGGTGAGCTCAGCTCCAGGACTGTTTGCCTCAAGTTTCAACATTTACAAAACATTGGTCTGCGGTGATATTTCCTGGGGGAATGTAAACACGAGTAGATGTGGAGGGCTCCTACCAGGCCTCGTGGGGGGCAGGGCTGGGGGGTGACGGGCGTCTGAACGCTGAGAGCTCCCCGCCCCTCCCCTGCTCGCTGTTTGAAGTTGGGTCAGAGGCGCGGCCTCCTTGGGCCCCTAAGCAAACGGGCTGACTGTGTTTTCCTGCCTCCTCATCACCGTCTGACTTGGGCCCTTTGGCCACATGCCACCCTGTGCCAAATACCCAGTGGGCCACTAGAGAGCTGCCATCCCTGGTGCCCTTGCTCCTGGGCTGGGCCATCACCTCATGTGAATTCCCTAACGCCATGCTCACAGAAGCCCGGCCACACGGGAGACTGAGGACCAGAAAGGTTATGTGTGACTCTCGCTGTCCCCAGTGCTATGACCCCGAGGCCCTGTGCGTCACTGTCCCACTCTGGTCAAAAGGCTCCGCCGATGACCACACTGGCTGGTAAGTCCTGATCTTATCTGCAAGATGCTCATCCCCCATCCCGAAAGGTTTGCCAGTGGCTGGACATGTGCCCACATGCTCTCCAGCAAAGGCTGGCCCTGAGTGTCCTCAGCAAGGCCCAGTGTCCCCATCCCAGGAAGCCGAGGTTATCGGCCCGCAGAAGGCTGAGGTAGACTGCCTCCCAGGCCTCCCCTATCTGCACAGGAATGCACTGAGCCCCCATCCCCTGCCCACCCAGGGGGAGGAATGCGGCAGAGGCTGCTGGGAGCTGGGAGCTGGGAGCTGGGAGCCCTGGAGGAGGGGTGGTGGAGGCCTCCGCCTCCTGGAATTCCCCAGGCCTGGCACCAGAGCCCCACCTGCCCCCCTCACCCCCTCGGCCCCGCGCAGTGCGCCTGGCACACTCAGTCCTCCTCTCCTCGGGCTGCAGGGGCACCGGGATGACCAGTGTGAAGGGGTGGCTTCTCTCAGGGCCGGTCACTTCCTGACAGTGTCCCCGCCTCAGAGAAGCCCTCGGCTGGGCAATTGCTCTTCAAAGTCCTAGAGCGGGTGCTGCTGGCGTTCTGGGCCATGCCTCCCTGCAGGGCCATCCTGGGCACGTGGGGTGTCGGGCAGCATCCCTGGTGGCCAGTGACACTGTCTCCTTCCCCAGTTATGACAGCTCAGCATTGCTGTGTCTTAGGGGAACTGCCCCCAGGTGTGACCTCCTGCCCCAGACCTCGTGAGGTGACATGCTTATGGTCCTCTTCCCCAGGCTGTGAGCTCCCTGAACACAGGGACCATCCGCCTTGCACGCTGCAGGGGCCGGTGCCCACCCTGGGGCCCACAACCACCTGTACGAGGTCACAGCAGGTGGAGGGGCCCTGCTGGACATCCCTGGGCCTCAGAGTCCCAGAGCCTGCAGAGCGGCGGGCGGGGGAGAAGCTGCTGGGGCCAGAAGAGCTGGGCGGGCTGAGCCAGACAAGCCCGGGCCAGGCCCACTCACCTGGGGCAGGAATTTGGGTTCCATCACTTTCCACCTTGGCTTTCAAGGCCAAACAAACCTTTGCCTCTGGGCATGTGTCAGCAACTGCGAACACACCCAGCTGGCCTGGTGCTTGGATGGGGCCCAGAGAACAGGCCCTGTCACGGCCCAGGGGCCCAAGGACTGGGGCCGCTTTCCCCTCTAGTCCATCCCCAGGCCCCCATCTGAGCCCCCATCTGGGCACCACAGAGGGGATGAGGGCCCCCAAACTGCTGCTTCTGAATGTGCTGTGCCTGAAGTTCGTCAGTAACCCTCCTTGGAGCTCAGCGTTGGGGGAGCCTCTGCTCCAGCACACGAGGCTGCCATGGGAGCTCATTGGGTTCTCAGCCAGGGGCCAGGCCTGTGGTCAGGACCCTCCCAGGGAGGTGCTGCCTCGCAAGCCGCAGTTACAGGTGGAAAGCGACGGGCTGGGGCCTCTGTGGCCCCCTGCACACTGCTGTGTGGCCGCAGGCGCTGGGGACACCCGTTCCTGTGCAGCCCTGCATCAGGCAGGCTCAGTCACCTCCCGGTGCCAGTGGCTGCTTGCTGATTCGCAGAGTGGCCCGTTCCCCCAAGGACAAGGAGAGTTGGGGCCTGGGAACATGCAAGGTCACCTCCCAGACAGATGGGCCGACAGACACACTGTCAGACCCACCTCCACTGGGGAGAACAGCAGGAAAGGGGGGGGCACGAGTCTCTCTCTCCCCGTGTCTACACCTGTCCCCTGGTGCACACACAGATGCCGCCTCTCACAGTTCACCATCCTGCCAAGGCCCCTAGTCGCCCCTTTCCTATTGAACTCACCCCTGCCTTCAGCTACCTTAGGGGAAACTGAGGCTCAGGGAGGCAAAGGGAGAGGGTCAGGGCTCCTTCTGTGCAGGGTCCGGGTCAGCCTGGGGCCGGGGTGGGCCTGGCCCTGGGGGTGGGGGCTGCTGCCTGTGCTCTGCAGCCTTCTCCCTTTGGACCTGAAGCTCCATCCGGTTTGGCTGGACCGTCTTGGCCTCTTGAGCGGCAAGGCGAACCCTCGGAGTGTCTGCTGGCTCAGGCCAGCTGGATGTGCTGTGTGTGCCTGGGGCGGAAGTGCCTCCTTTCCTGTCGCTTGGCTCAGCCCTCTGTAGCCAGCTCCCACAGGAGGGGTGGGACCAGAAGATGGGGAACCTTGGGTGTTTCCACCTCACAGTGGCTTTCCTCTGGGGGCGCACAGGCCAGGCCCTGGAGTGCCTTTACCTGCCACCTGCAAGAGCCTCCTGGGAGCTGGCTGGGGAAGGGGACTCGTCCACGCAGACCGTGCCCCAACGCCAGCACGGTCCGTAGGGAGCCCTGCCCGCCTGGTGGACACGGATGTGAAAACCCAGGGGTGGGACAAGTAGAATTGGTGCTCTTTATCACGCATAGGTCCTATCTCAATGGAAAAAAATCTAATAAAGTAAAATAAACAAGATAGTAAAATAAAATGACAGAAGAAAGTAAAATTTTAAAATACGGTGAACAGGATGCTGGCCCAGCGGTCCCAGGCTCCCTGGGGCTCCGACAGCCAGCAACTAATGCTGACAACCGCCCCACGCTCTGGTCAGTTAGGCCTGACCCACATGTCAAGGCCGCACCCCCGCTGTGACCTCCCTTGCGCCTCACCCACACTGGGGAGGGCCAGTGACTGCCTGCTGACTGAAGCCTGCACGATCCCACTTCCCCAGGACCCCCTCTGGGGCTGGGACTCTGTTAAGAGCCAGGCCTCCTCCCAAGAGAACAGAGCTCCCGGGGAGGGTCCATGGGTCCGGTGGCCACAGCTCCTGTCCGGGTCCGCGTGGGTGGGAGCTTGTCCCTTGGCCCTGCCCCACTGCTCATCCTGGGTCAGGAAGGAAGTTTCCTGGTTCGGGGCTGTTCCCTTCCATACACAATGCTGGCCGGGCCCTGCCTGGCCCAGAAACAGCTGATCTGAGAGGAGGGAACCTCCCCCGGAAGGCTGCGTCGCCAGCACATCTGAGAGCCTCCTACCTGTCCGTGAGGTGACCCTTCAGACAGTGCTAGGGATGGGCAGGGGATGCTGTCCACACACCAACCACACGCCACTGGCCACTGTCACCTG